ATTGCCAACTGACCCAGCCGAGGCTCGAACCAGCGACCTTCTTGCTGTGGGGTGACAGCACTACCTATTGCGCCACTGCGTCGCCCCTCCAGAATGCATTACCTTACTTAATTATTTCCAGTTTGTACAAATGCAAACCCACCAAAATATGTGTACATCATCCAATAATTCTAGGAACTATATGAAAATGTTCCTCCAGTGCAAAATACCCCATAAATGACAAAACAAATTAAATATAAAGCCTCAGAATTAAAAAAAAAAAAAAATAAATAAATAAAAAGTTATTCTGGGGGACCTTGCTTGAGTAAGTCATGAACTTTGCCTAGACAGAATGGAAGGAGTGATGAAACCAGAAGCCAAATGGGAACAGGGTGAAAAAGAACAGATCCCAGTGGGGCACCAGTTGTAAGCAAGCACTGTAAACAATTGAGCAATTCCAGCTCACCTGCCATAATTTGTGATCAACAAATATGGGAAACAGCTGGAATATGAGATCAAATACAAATCCACTGATTTTTCACTGACTAAACTCTCCAATCACAGATGGTAAGGTATGCACTGACATGCTCAAGTATGTAACCCCAGGCTCAAATACCGCTTGCTGATATCACTGCTATTTATTAACACTATGTTTGTCACCAGGGGAATCCCACAGAGATTTCTTGACCTGACTTTGACCCGTTTGTTTATTTAAACAGACCTGTATGTAGTCCTGTCATGATATCTATATTTTGTGATGAGATATATTGCATTAAAATATATTGTGATAAATGATATTGATGCCATTGTAAGACCATTTGATGTCGCTCATTACATAATGACAGAATGCAATATCTGCTACCAGACCTATTTTTAATAATCAGGAAACCACATTAAAACATACTGTAGTAATGTATATTAAATACTATAGTGTTTTTTACCCATACTGACACTGACTGACAGCTCCAATAAAGATAAGAGATGAATGTTGCTAGAGTTGGTTTTTATGTATGGGAAATAGGGATGCAATGATTAAACGATTTCACTCCGCCCTTTAATTCATCATGGTTTATTAATCGTAAAGACTTCTCAACACCGCATTTCTGCATGGAACAAAACTTCTGCAACTAAACAAAGTTATGACAACTGTGCACTAGTTTGAAGTTCAGAGGTTGTACACCGAGGCTAGTATGCACGCAGATTAAACATGGCTGAGGATATTAACTAAAGGTCGATCACATATTGTGTTTTTTGCAAGTTTGTTATTTCCAGCAGAGCATTTTACTTAAAGCGATAAGTTTTATATATTTGTTTTATTTATTTATTCATTCATTTATTGTTCTGTCATTTATTTTCAGAGTAAAGATATTACTTGTTTAAATGTCTAAAACTTTTTTCACTTATTTTTAAGTTCAAAGAGAAATGGACTATTGTTTGTTTTTGTTATGATTTGTTCTGTATTATTTAGTTACTAAGCAGCAATGTGAGTTTTCATGTGATTTTCTAAACTAGTAGTGTTTTGAAATTAATGAATGCATAATAATCGTGGTAACCATCAATCCGTGTTTATTCCTCAGACTATAATAATCGTACAACCAAAATCTATAATCGTTGCATCCCTAATGGGTGATATATATTTCATCAGCAAATGATTGAGCTCATGTCCAGGTGTTGTGCGATAAGTTGGTATATTGATTATTGTGACAGTATACCTGTATGGAATGTAAGCTTTGTTAAAATTAATTTGTTACATTAGTTTGGGTGAAGAAACACAATTATTTTAAATGATGAATTTCCAATAGAAACTAGATAAACACACAAAAAAGTATTGTTATGCAAATTATATCATAATAAATCTATGTTTTCACTACATAATCTCCCAGTTGTTCTTTGTTTCTTTGTGGTGAAATGACATTCTCATCCCTATCTCTTTTGTGAGCACTGAGGACTTGTAAATAACTTACAACTAAATAAATAACTATAGTATAATTATATTATTTACTTGAATAATAATGTTTAATACACACACTCTTGCTTTTGACCACAATAATTGTGATTATTATATTTTAGAAAAACTCAAGAAGCCCTAATTGTTAGTAATAAAAGTGGCTGAAGATGTATACTCTAAGCCTTGTGTAAATTATATAGCCAGTCATCCAATGCATTTTTATACAATAAATCCCTTATTTTAACTTGATGTATAGAAAAGCTTTAGATGCAAATTAATTTTCCTAAATTATATGCCTACAAAAATAGTGCAGTAAACTACATTAAGTTAATCTTTATAATACAGTAAAAATAACATGGGTTTCGGAACGACGAATTTAAATATCTAGGTCTTTGGCTCGACCTGTCCTTTAAAGTTTAAACCCCATATTGACTTTATAATTAAAAAGTCATATCTGTGCTTAGGTTCTCTTCATCGTTGTATTAATTGTTTTTCATTTTAAGTAAGAAAAAAATATAATTCTTAATTAAGTTTTCCTATTATTGATTATGCTGATATTATTTATAACAATACCTCTGATATTATTTAAAACTTTAAAATACTGTCTTTAATTCTCTTTGTAGGTTTGTTTTAAGATCTCTGTATAGAACCCATCATTGCATATTATACAAATCTCTTGGTTTGCTTCAACCTAAGTTCCGCAGACAATATCATTTGTTTATTTTAGTGTGTTTATTTTAGATTTGCCTCCTATTTAAAGCAGTTTTTTGTTCCATTTACCTCCTCATATCCTCTTTGACATATGCAACAGAATTACTTTTTTGTTCCAAGAATTACAACAGAAAGTGGCCGTAGGTCCTTTTAATACAAAGCTTCTTCTGACTGGAACAATCTTCCTTTGTTTTTTAGATCAACTAAGACATTTTGTCTTTTCAGGACTTATTTATCTTCTTTTTTGGAAACAACTTCTAAATAAAGGGCGAGGCAGTGGCGCAGTAGGTAGTGCTGTCGCCTCACAGCAAGAAGGTCGCTGGGTCGCTGGTTCGAACCTCGGCTGTGTGGAGTTTGCATGTTCTCCCTGCGTTCACGTGGGTTTCCTCCGGGTGCTCCGGTTTCCCCCACAGTCCAAAGACATGTGGTACAGGTGAATTGGGTAAACTAAATTGTCCGTAGTGTGTGTGTGTGAATGTATACAGTATGTGAATGTTTCCCAGAGATGAGTTGCGGCTGGAAGGGCATCCGCTGCGTAAAAACTCGCTGGATAAGTTGGCAGTTCATTCCGCTGTGGCGACCCCGGATTAATAAAAGGACTAAGCCGACAAGAAAATGAATAAATGAATTTCTAAATGTTATTAATATTGATTCCAATTTAAATGCTTATTATTTATTTGTATATCAAATTGTTTGTACAGTACTTTTGATTATATGTTTTTGTTTGCCTAGGCTTGGGACTGTGGGAAGTGTTTCAGGTGAAGTGTACTGCTTGTTTGTTTGTTTTTTGTTAGCTGTATGTTTGTTATGACGTGATGTACTCTGTTTGATTTATGTACGTAGGGACCCCCTCGAAAATGAGATCTCAAGGGGCTATCCCATTCAATACATTCAAAAATTCAAGTTCAATGGCTTATTGGGGGAGTATTTAGTGAAACATGTTTGAAAGCAATAATTTGTGCCTTCAAATCCACTTAGACCACATTAAGCATAATTTTTAGTAAGCAAAATGATCGATCCTTAAACTTTTTCCTGCCATTCATGAATCTAAATAGCATGGAAATACAGGTATATGCAGCTTAAATGTAATACTTTCAAAAAAAAATATGCATATTACTGCCTTCAGCAGCCACAAAGGCTTTGCGTTTTCATCTGTAGGGCTATTAATTCTCCAAATCCTTTTACCCATGACTAAATGTCCTGAGTACAATTGGATATAACTACCACAGTGGTTATGATATAACAAGCTTTACTCTCCTCTATTCTCCTCCACAACCACCACCATCTGGGGCACAGGGCACTGTACACTGATTTAGTGGCAATAACAAAGTATCATAGAATGAACATTAAAATACATAAACCAACTGATGTACAATTGCAATTTAACCAGTATAATTAACTATATTAAGAACAATCACATTCACTAGTTGCAGTGAGTTGTTTTGACAGTTTAACACTGAATAGTACTGAATAGTTTCACTGCAGTTTATTATTAATTTAACATACTAATAAGGTTTGATCACAAAACTGTAAAATTATGCCCAATCCAGCTCTCTGAATAAAAATTTGTCAAAACAGTCCCAGTCTGCTCTAGATACCAGACTGTTATATAACAGCTTAGCTTGGCATTTAGTGGCGTTTGGCATTTTATTCACTTATATGAGCCTGAACGTTAAGTTTATCGCAGCCTTTTAAACTGTCTGTCTGTTATGAATATAAACGGGTGAAGTTTATGATCAGCCATATAAGCTTTCAAAACCAACTCAACAGTTAAAAGTAATGAATGTTTTTCTCTATAGTCAGCACGTCAGGCTAGCTGATAGGGGCTTGTATACAAGTTACGCTAACAAAACTAGTGTAAATATAAGAACTTGATATTAAGATATGACTAAAAAAACTATATATTTTTTCTGTAGATACAGTATGAAACGAGATGCGACAATAAAGAGCAACCTTAAAGCCTGCCTTTAGCAAGCTAATGTTGTCAAATAACGATGCGCGCATTAGTTGTAACTGTTAGGGAAATAATCTGCTTTGGGGACGAATGAAACATCCATTGATGTCTGTCAGACAACTAAATAACTTAACACATTAATATTCTTAACCAGTAACGTTATTAGAAAACTCAAGTGAAGAGAGAACACTCGCTGGCTGTTCATTTCAGTTAGCAACGTTAGCCGCACAGTTTGGTTGTAACGTAACGTTAACGTTTATTATGTGGCGGTGTCTCGAAAACTACTTAGCTTTCTACCTAGGCATCCTGCATTTAAACATGGTTTGTTTACTGAATGAGCGATATGATGTGCAAAATGACACCTCGGTGGGCAGCTCACTATGTTTTAACACAATCTTCATTATGTACCTTGGTATGGTGATGCATTTGGTGTTGATATTCTGGGTGGTGATGGCCTTCTCCAACTCCTCCAGCTGTCCGGTCTTCTTTAACTTCTTCACCAGACTCTTCACCGCTTTCTCGCACCATTTCTCCTCCTGTCCGTTCTGCTCGCCCTTCTTCCAGCCCAGCAGCCTCTTCACGATCGGGGGCGTGAAAGGCAATATAGACATCTTTAGTTGATCAGAAACAGCTACGAATATATTCCGTATCAGGGGGTGGGATGCTCTATAATTGCGTCGATAGATCTTTTAATTTTTCCAGATTTAAAATAAAAAAGAAAGTTCTTTGTCCACGAGTCACATCACCGCATGATGGTGAGAGATGTTCAGGGGCTCAGAGCTGTGGATAGTGAACGGTACTCGGATGAAATTCGGCGAGACGCAGCGCTGTCTGAACCCGCCCCTCCTTCTCCTCCTCCTCCGCTTTCTCTGTAGTTCAGACTTTTATTAGATGTAATAAAAATAACATTTAAAAAGTTTGAAATATACAAATAATCAAATGTTATATGTGTCTAACAAAAACTTATTTGTTTCATGTAGTCAATTTGGGAAAAAGGGTGTCACAGAATGACCTAAATGTAGCCTACTTCTTTTTTGTAAACTTCATCATATATATTATATTATATGATATTATATGATATTATATGATATTATACGATATTATATGATATTATATTATAATAAAAGTGCTGAAATTAAACATTTTATTATTGTCTTCTAGCAATATAAGCCTTAAAAAGGAGTCATACTAAAAATCCATATCCCTTATTCACATATTTTATTATGTTATGTAATGTTATAACGCAGTCATTTTTAACACCAGGCATAAAAATAATAAAAATTAAATAAAAAACGTAAACCCCCTATGCGCTTAACCCATTTATTTTACAATTTTATCTTGTATTATATAACTGTATGTTAAATCAAAAGCAAACTTCACTGAAAACAGTGCTACATTGCTGAGAATCTAGACGTCTGAGAGACACGTCACTATTCGGATGTCTGTAGTTTTTGTACAATGGCTCTAGACTGCAGACAGGAGGGAGGGGACGGGGCTGAGACTCCTCTGTGTACTTGCATTCAGGCCTGTTGCAGCTTGCCCTCTGCAAGCACATACTGGGAATGTCCCGAATCAGTTCATGTTCATTCAGAAGCAGAACATCAATTCAGGCCAGCTGGAGCAAGTACAAGGGCTCCGGGTCCAGAGAAATCCATCTCTGTCAGACTCTTTCTCATTTGTGATGCATTAATCAAGACATTCATGTTTTGTTTCCTAAAACAATAAATAAACACATTTTATCACAATCACTGAGCAAGGATGAAAAAACTAATATGATTTTCTAAAATATTATGTTAAAATATGTAAATGATGTTTTATGCCAGTAAGGCATATATTTAAGTGACAAAAATCTTAACACTGGACGAACCAGGTTCAAAGTCCCAATCTACACTGTAGAAATTATATTGTATTTTTACAGTAATTTACTGTCAGCACTGTTGTCCTCAATTTACCACAACTGCCCCTTTACAGTAACTTAAATGTGTTTTACAGTAGCAGGGCCCTTTACTTCAATTTCATTTTAAAGTAAAATAGCCTTACCACAAATTCTTTTTATGGTAAAATGCCCTTTAGCACATTTTAATTTTACAGTATGAACATATTACAGTACTTTTACTGTAGGTCATTAACATTTCACCCTAGCGGTACAAGACCCTTATTTTTTAAAAGTGTTTACTATTGAATTCCAAACACGCGACAAGATCATGTAGGCCTACTTGTTTTTGTATTATTATTCACTGCATTATATCAATTTTAAGTTGAATTTTAAATGTTTACAAAAGTAGTTTTCATTCATGAATCTATTTTAAATTATATATTTTGTAATACCAGATAACTTTTTCATTAACTGTCATATTTTTGTTTTCAACTACAGTAGTAGTACATTTTACAGTAGAATATAGCAAATTACTATTCCTAATAGTTTCCATGCAAATTCCTATTACAGTGGTGAACAAGAATGTATTTAGCTGGGTTTTTTGCTAAATCTATCAAACTATCTAGCTCTCTGTGATCATCAGTCATCATCAAATGTGAGTTTTACAAGTTTAAAACGTGTTTAAAACAGTGAATGTTTTTAATGAATTACAAAGTTTACTTCAGTTTTACTTGTCACCACAGTCTCATGTCTGTACAATTATAAAAGAAAACGCTTCAATCTCGGTTTGTGGACATTAAATCAGGTTTACTTTGAACATGAACTTAACGAATATCCATACAGTACTATAAATTATCGTGTATCCTGTCACATTTGCATACAAAAACGCACAAAGTTAAATGTGTGCGCTGTGTGTGTGTGTGTGTGTGTGTGTGTGTGTGTGTGTGTGTGTGTGTGTATGAACTTTGTAATCATTCTCATTAACTTTACAACAAATACATCAATTAAACATTAATAAAGTTCTTACTATAGTATTTCTCACAAACATTACATGAGATCTGCTTCCTTCATGTCTGTCACTGTGCTTATTTATCTGATGCAGCCAAGGCAGAGATTGAGGCACACTCTGACAGGCATGTGGAAACGGTGGGCAGAGAGAACTAGCATTAAAGGCAAAGGCAACAAAAACAGCCTCATTGTGTTTAGAGCAGAAAATTCCAATATTTTGTAAGATATAATAAATAACCTGATGGGTGTTTTGAGCTGAAACTTAACTGACACACTGGAAAAAGGAGAACAACAGGCGCCTTTTAAATCAGGCAAAAATTTAAAAAACCCAAATTTCTAAAATTGCCATTAGCATGCAATGTCTTGTATCAAATAACAAAATCAAAAAACTTCGACTGGAATCACAAAACTCTTTCAACATTTGTTTAGTAAAATCAAATATTAAGCAAGACTGAATTCCCTGAGAATGTTGCCTTATCACCCACCCGGGGAAATGTAAATCACGTACTAAGAGATAAACGTGCAAACTGCCATAGTAAAGAAAGAAGGCATCTGAAGTGTCAACACATTCCCTTTTTTTACAACCCGCAATGTAAAGTCCTAAAATAGAGGAGTCCTGCCAAGCTCAGTCTTTGATCTCCCCAATAAAAGTGCTTTAATTTCACCTTGAATGCATGCTGGGGAAACGGTTAAGGTGACTGGGCTGTGGGTATTTTGATCTGTTTGTGGACTGTTCCTCATATGTGCTGAACATTATCCCCCTCCCTCTGGGCACATTTGTGCTTATGATATAAATAACTCTACCCAGAGGCCCACACTGATAGCCCCCTTTTCCTTTTATCTATTTTTATCTGACCATCAATGGACAGCATGTAATAATTTCACGTTGAACTCTGGCATGGTTTCAGACCTCTTCAGACAGTTAGGCCTACACAGAAACTCTTAAGTCAAATTATTTTTCACTACTGTTACAAATTTAAAATTTTTACATATTTACAGCTTCATTATCATGCCTAAAACTCTAAAACAAGGAAAGCTTTGAAAAACTGTATTTTACTGTAGGTCTGTTATGTAGTATGTTACTGTATTTTAAAGCTACGTTGTGAAACTTATTGTATATTTTACAGTAAAAATACACAATACTGTAAATGAATATACAGCAACATAAATGGTGCTTTAAATGTAAATACATTATTTAGCTATAGTTGATTTACAATAAGTTTCTGGCAAATAGTAAATTACCGTAGATTTTAGAAATTGTTATTAGTGTATATTAATTATATTATATTATATTATATTATATTATATTATATTATATTATATTATATTATATTATATTATATTATATTATACATTCATTTTCTTGTCGGCTTAGTCCCTTTATTAATCCGGGGTCGCCACAGTGGAATGTACCGCCAACTTATCCAGCCGATGTCAGGGAAACATCCACACACACTCTTTCACACTAATACACTACCGACAATTTAGCCTACCCAATTCACCTGTACCGCATGTCTTTGGACTGTGGGGGAAACCGGAGCACCCGGAGGAAACCCACGCGAACACAGGGAGAACATGCAAACTCCACACAGAAACGCCAACTGAGAGGAGGCTTGAACCAGCGACCTTCTTGCTGTGAGGCGACAGCACTACCTACTGCACCACTGCTTCACCTTTATATTATATTAAATTATAATATATTATATTAGATAGATATTATTGATATTATAGATATTATATTATATTACACTGTTAGTGAATTTTGTAAATTACACAGTATTTAACTGTAATTTGAACAATGTATATTATATTATATTGCTGTGAGGCAAATGTGCTACCCTCTGCACCACCACGTCAACTACAAATGTTATTATATTATATTATATTATATTATATTATATTATATTATATTATATTATATTATATTACATTATATTATATTGACATGCAAACTCCACAGAGAAATGCCATCTTGCCCAGCTGAGACTCTACCAAGCCGACCAATCACAGAGCTTACGCTACGCGTTGTTGCGATGTGTAGTTACATTTTTTGAAAGGTGCACGTCAGTGACGGCGACGGCCACGGCGAAGGGCTATGCTTCAGTGTCGTAGCATAAGCCGACGTTTGACGCAGAAGTATAAATCAGCCTTAAGCAGTAACCTTCTTGCTGTGCTTCAGTGCTAACTAAAAACATACAATTCTAATTTTTGCTTCAAAATCCTCAATGATTTTCTACATTTTCTACTATAATCTAGATCTACATAAACTATATAGAGAAGTTTAAAATACTATTTGTTCTAATCAGCTTTAAACCATAAATTCTACTAAACAAGAAAAACATTTAATACAATTTTATTTTACAATCCTATTCATTCAAATGTTTTTGGTCAGAAAGATTTTCTTTTAATATCCCAAATATTTGATATTTCTTATTTTACATTCCTAACCTGCATTCATTTAATAAAAAACACAGTACAAACAGCCATGCTGTGAAATCTTATACTCATTTATTTTATTAACAGCTTAGTCCCTTTATTAATCTGGGGTCGCCACAGCAGAATGAACCGCCAACTTATCCAGCTTACGTTTTACGCAGCAGATGCCCTTTTAGCTGCAACCCATCACTGGGAAACATCCATACACTCTAATTAACACAAATATACCATGGCTAATTTAGCTTACCCAATTCACCTATACTTATCTCTTTGGACTTGTGGGGGAAACCGGAGCACCCG